GATGTCTTTGAAGATTTTAAAAAATTTCCTCAAGTTCTCTGGACTTCTCTGAAGTTTCTATGACCTTTTCAAGTTTTTTTTTGGAAATCCCTGAAGTTCATAGAACTTCTTAAAGTTCTTGAATCTTCCCTGAAATGCATGAAAAAAATCAGAAGTTCCCTTATTATCCCGCAGTCTACTCATGAAAGTTCTCCGAAATCCTCGGTATATCCATTCATTCTGTGGTACTTCTTAATTCATTTTATGTGGACCTCCCTGAAGTTCTCCAATCTTTCCTAAAAGGTCTTGCTACTCTTCTGACGAATTGCCTTGATCAATTAATCAAATTGCCCTAAAGATCTCTAAACTTCCCAAAAATGTCTGCACTTTCATAAAATTCTCGCAACTTCTGTGAAGTTTCCAGTTTATTTCTTAAGTTCTCTTAACTTCCCGGATGTTTTCTGGACAATTTTATTTTTTTGAGCTTCTTACTATTTTCCTCAATTTAAGGACAGTTCCCCTACAGTTCTCGAAATTTACCTGAGGTTATTCGGAGATTCCCTGTAGTTCCACCATTTTTCTTAATAAGAAGCTGCATAACTTCTTATGGCCCTTAAAATCAACTGAAGATTCTGCAACTTCTGTAAAGGACCTGAAATTTTGGAATGGAACTGACGCTCTTTGATCTTGACTGAATTTAGATATATTTTATTTTGTTTTTCCAGGCTCATTTGCCGTAGCTTTGCGGAGCCGATATTGATTGTTCAGATTACGAAATTACTCAAAACTAACGTTAGTAAAGCGGGGGCTGATTACTCGCGGTTATCTCGAGGGTAGGGGTAGCAAATTGTAATAAATGGATGGCAGGGTAGGGATTGGGAACAAAAAGTTTGGAGAGCAATGTGCTCTTGATCTCAAACTAAGCGATATACTGATGAAAAAGACGGACATGGGGGTACACCGATGGGAAGCTAACAACTTGGGAGAACACAAGATGACACTAACTACTAAATCCTCTGATCTATCCTTTTTAGAAACACATAGTTGAGATCTCGACTCGCCAACTTGTCTCTTCTAAGGGCCCTGATGGACGATATCAATTTTATCAATCAAGACATAAAAGGCTAATTTTCACGACAGACAAAAGCAACAGAAGGTGAAATAGAATGGATATAATCCACAAATGGCCACAAAGTTCCATAAACATCCGCATAGTTTAGCAGCCTCAGATGAATGGTAGTCTTGGATACCAGACAGGCTCTAAAACAAAGAACGCTGACCGTTGCTGCATTCTCATGAGTTAGATTATCACTTTATTAAGGAGACTTTCTAGAATATATTTTTACGTTTTTTTAGAGGATCTGTTAAGGAACATTGCTGCATTAAAATCCACGGAAATATCTTTAAAATGTATTCAATTCCATATTTACGATCGACAAATCGCCTACGATGAATTTTTCTTCATTTATCGTCAACAGTCGCTCGCCAGCTGGCAGAAAAAATGGAGTGAAGGGAGTTTGGGACGATGGCTATATTCGATCATTGGTTCAAAGGGTTGAATGTGGGTCGAGATTTCATTCGTGTGATGTCTCGCCTCATGTCCAATCACTATTCGTTAAACTCTCACTTGTTCCGTGTTGGGCTGGGGGACAGCAATCTCTGTGAATGTGGACAAGGTTACCAAGACGCAGATCACATCATTTGGTCTTGTGCTGAGCATCGTGGAGTCAGATCTGAGCTGTTCGATTCCCTTCGGGCTCGAGGTAGACAACCTAATGTTCCAGCTCGGGATGTTTTGGCTAGATGCGATCTGGAGTTTATGGAACTCATATATGTTTTCCTAAAGAATATTAACCTTAGATTGTAAGTTTGATTAACTTTGTGTTTAGTTTGTATTTTGTTTGTTTGTTTTTTTTTTAGTTTTTGTTTTTGTTATAATTGTAAAATTATAGAGCTGATAACATAATAGAAATAAGTTCATATTTAGAAATACTGAAATCTCCTCCTCCCTCTCCCCATCCATAAAATTGTAAATCTCCACTAACCTCGAGACGACCGCGAGTATTCGGTTCAATCCCTGTAACTCTAGATTTAAGATTAGGATTAAGTATGTATAACGAAAATGATAACTTGACTCTGTAAAGTTTATTCGATTGAGCCAGTACAAATAAATCAATTCATATAAAAAAGCCTGTTATTCCATGTTTTCGAAGCTGTTTCATGCATCATTCTTGCCACTACTCTCCAGTACGCGTTTTCTTTTCACAGCGAAGCATTGAGACCATTCACCACTCGCTCGCCTGCGTTACTGTATTGGAAGCAAATCGCAGGATTCACAGAAGAATGCGCAGACCCTAAAGTCTGTGGAGTACATCTGATCACCAACACCATCATAGAACTATTAGAAAACCCAACACCTCCGACGCAGGCATCGATCGCTTCACTATGCCAAAAATTTCTGGTCCGGGAGCACACGCGAAGAAAATAAAACAAGTACGCAGATAGCGACATTTCTGATGCTTGCAAACACGATGAATCATGTTTCCTACTCGATTCAAAAACTTTCCAGAAAGCGAGAAAACCACCACAATCACATAACGTATAACCGTCCGGGAGGCAGAGTGCCAGCGCTAATCAGCCAAAAGCAGCCGAAAACGATCCATACGAACGCACGCACAAAACAGAGAGCACACTTAAAACAGAACCGTATCCTATGGGTATTGAAACTCGAATCAGTAACCGAGGAAGCTAAGCAGTTCCACGCAAGATGACAAATCGGATAATATAATTATTTTTTACGGGAAATTGTTCACATTTTTGTTAAAATTCTTCTATTTTGGATTCTTGAAGAAATATAAAAAAATTTGTTGTTTTATTTTGTTCAAAGATCGGGCAGTTACATTTTGAGATATATGTAAATTTTTTTTTTAATTTTGCTACTCAAAATAAATAAATAAACCGGTTTTTGTTTATTTTTCCCAGAAAGATATTATTTTTCTCTACAACTTTGTATCACTCTTTCACTATTCACTTTCACCATTCATTTTATCTATTGACTATAACTATTCACTTTCACTATTCACATTCACTATTCACATTCACTATTCAATTTCACTATTCAATTTCACTATTCAATTTCACTATTTACATTCACTATTCAATTTCACTATTCACTTTCACTATTCACTTTTACTGTTCACTATTTACTTCCATTATCAATTGAAAAACAATCTACAACAGATACGTATTTCTGAAGAAGTTTCCGAAGAAATACGTATCTGTAAAGTTTTTTTTTAAGTGATGGTGAAGTAAAAAGTGAATTGTAAAAGTGAATAGTGAAAGCGAAAAGTTAATAGTGAAAATGAACAGTGAAAGTTAATAGTGAAAGTGAACAGTGAAAGTGAATAGTGAAAGTGAATAATGAAAGTGAATAGTGAATGTGAATAGTGAATAATGAATAATGAAATAGTGAATAGTGAAATAGTGAAAGTGATACAATAGTAGTAGAAACAAAAGGAAAAACAACGTAACAAGAGCATCTCATTTTATAGGGAGTATTTAATCATTTATGCGTAGATTTACTATCTTTCCCGTGTATTTTTTTAAACCACCCACATTAGATTCGGATCTGAAGCGTAACGGCAAAGTGACTGCTAATTCTATTGTCCATCTGTGAAATGTACGTTAACGCAGCGTAAACAGATCGGTGGCCTTTTAGAAGAGCGAAGCAGCGGTTAATCATCCAAAAAAATCTTCAAAAAAATGACCTGGAAAAAATAGTTTCCTATAAAATATGAAATGACCCAATAAACAATTTGAAATGTTCCATAGAAATCGCTGAAGTTTATGGAACACTTCCGCTGTTTTATTGGTACAATTCAAATTTTTAATGGTCTCATACTTTTTTTTGTGGAACATTTCAGAAATTTTCATTTTTAGTATTTATTGATCAGTTCCCATGTTTTATGGGAAATATTTTTAATTTTACTGGAGCAGTTTAACTTAAGCATGGTGCCTTCACATTTTTATCGAGCGTGTATATTTAAATATTGGCACATCTGCCTGTTTTTTATGGGTCAATTATTGATTTTTAGGGTGCATTCCATCGATACAATTGGTGCCAAATATGGGCTGCCCTTTACAGACTAAGCAATTGAGAGCCCGAGTACTGACAAAAACTCCCCAATCAAGCCACGTATCAGGTGGTCGGTATCATCGTCTTCACTGCACCATAACTGTATAACTACCAACATGCCATACATCGTGCTACAATTTACGGCGCATCGTTGAGCCCCGGAAAGTACTGAATATTTTATCACCGAGGCCATACGGCAGCGAAAAATAATCCTATTCTCGCATAACTTGCATCTTGGAATAAGATCGCCGCCGTGAAATCCCCACACATTCCACACAACTGATGATACCGTGCACTAACCAAGTGAGAATGGAGAAACGGGGAAATTCCACCGCCTTGAATTCATCTTTACGACACAAAGACGACTCGTTCCACTCGTTTAAATGAGCCACATCGGGAGGGAAAAAACTGCTCTCAACCCTCTGCCCAGCTCTTGGAGGCGGCGAATTAATCTTTCATGACCCGGGAAAGTATTTGGGTGGAAAATCACTTCGGAATTGATGGGAAGCGAAAGGCGGCACAGCAGAAGCAGGAATGAAATTATCACTTCCACTGTGCGCTGTTACCGTGGTCGTTTTCCACTCCATTTTCCCAGTTCGGATCGTTTTCTAGACTGGACCAAAACTACATACACACACACACATAGATAGGTACCGAGGTGTACCTACGAACGAAACTGCGAAGGAAATATTTATGGCTTTGTTATTCTTTGCTCTTCGGGGTAAAGCTTTCAGCGCCGAAGATTTATGGTTCCAGCGGGAGTGGTTGGCCTTCCGGAAAATGGAATATACATTTTTTTTGCGAAAGATTGGTTGGTTTCGTTCGGTTGAGCGACTAATGTGGTTTCTGAGAATTTCTGTAAACAATCATCCAAAATGGAACTCACCTCCGTACAGAACGAACAGCCACACTGCGATATCCGGGTGAGATTCTCGGCGTTGTGTTCCCCGAGGCACAGTTTGCAGGTTAATATTACGGTCGGATTCAGGGCACTGCTGCTGGGTGGAACCCCGGTCACAGCCGTAGGACTCTGAGGTTCCGCCAGCATGGCTGCCTTCGATGTTACCGATGCCCGGCTGCTGCTGTTGGACGAGGAGGATCCCGACGAGGAGGTGCGCGATGCCGATGGAGAACACGAGGAAGCACTCGGCGATGAGGAGGAGGAAGATGTTCCCGACGAGGTTTTCGTTAGCCGTAGTAAACTACCGACGTGTTTACCACTTCCGGTGCCGGGTGCTTGTTGGTTGGTACCACCAACTGACACAAAGCCTCCGTTGGATAGGTTGAGTGAATACCGCGAACCGGCCGCTGCGAGAGATAAGAGACTAGAACAACGGGAGCACGTGGCCACCGATGCACAATTGCGTAACCGATTCTGCGGTTTGATGGGTTCGACCGCATGGGCGGAATTGGTCAAAGCGAGGACTGTTTCGCACTTCCGGAGGCCACTCGGTGGTTGTGACCCTAGCAGAGGCACGGATTTCGGAGGTGCTAGGCTGTTGCAGCTGACATCCCTCTTCAGCAGAGGAACCACCGACCAAAGCTTCTGATGAACGGAGCTGAGCGAAGTGGTTGAAATGTTCAGTCGACTCCGCGTCATTTCGAGCAGATTGTGCTCGGAGGGGCTCTTGCTGATTTTAATCTCGGGCGAAGGTAGCAGCGGTACATTCGTTGCACTCGACAGCGGAGGTGCAGCTGGCACCGATGGAAGTGGCAGCACTGGCGTAGGTTCCTTTGAGGGCCTCCTTCCAACGAGACTTTTGAGAAATGCTTCCAGCCGACGTTTCCGTGGTACCGGTGCTCCCAGGGAAACCGGGTGGGTGCCATCGGTTGCCATCGATGGCACTACCGGTGAGGATGGATTGCAGCCAGCTGTGGATCGGCGATTGGCTTGGGTGCCACCTCCGCCGCCTCCGCTCGACACCACCAACGGTTTGGGACCGCTGAACTGAGGCGAGTGTGGCTCCAGTAGCGAAGCGGACTCGTGGGAACCGCCATTGGCGAGGGCGCTCCGTAGACCAGCCAGATTGTGCACGATCGATGCAAAGTCCTGCAATGGAAAAGAATTTGGAAAATAATGAATAAATCGTTATTTGATTTGATTGCCACAATCGAATAAAAGCTACAAATGGACGAAGCATGGGGAGAAGTGTCCCACTAGCATGGGCATTATATCATTATATCGTGCACATCACTTCAACTAATGCGACGGAAACAGAGGGAAATGAAAATAATCAATCCGATATCCTGTTTCAGCTGACGTCAAAGCAAAAGTCGTATTTGCGAGCAACTAGTGTAGAGGACAATATTTAGAACGAACAAGTATGTAGGGGGTTGTATCTATGAACACGGAGCCGTCACCGTAATTGCAGAGCGTCGTGACTCTATTTTTTTTATCTAGTTCGTTTATTTGGAAGGCTCAATCGCGTTAGCTTTACGGAGCCGATAATTCATTGTTCACTGTGTGCAACAAAATTCACTTAATTCTATGTCTAGTAGGAGTTGGGCCGATTACTCGCGGCTTACTCGAGGTTAGAAGGGTACATTTTCGAAGGATAGGATCAGGGGAGGAGCTTGGGGTAGGGTTTCGTTGTCTCATCAGAGCGTTGTCGCCAGTAAGAACGGTAGTGCTGTTCTAGCTTCGTCCGGAGTTCGACCGGCTATGGTGGGTGACCAGTGGGCGACGATGAGACTCATCGAGACGGGGGGACAAGACAGAGTCGTGACTCTAGAATTGATGGGTTCCAACTAAGCATTGCGTATATTAAGCCTTTTAGGTGTATGATAGAAATCCATAAAACTTGTACACTCAATTCTGTTTTTACACGATTTTTCCCACCTCTATTTTTTATCGTGTGATCTCAATTAGCAACCAAATTTAATGCAACGTGTTTCAAAAAATTACAAAAAAATCAAAAGAGAATCAGGTGGTCTGCTGGATTCTCGAGCAGGAGAAAATAACGTATTAATACCGAATTCATGCATGATATTAGCATAACTGGCAACCTAAATATTTATTTATTTATCGTTGCTGCATTCTCATGTGTAAGATTATCAAAGTAGGCAGTGTATATTTTAAGATGGTTCACTCAAAATAATTCACACGTTATTGTTACGTGAAAAATCACATAGAGTAACTCTATTTCCGCTTCTGTCAATTTTACGTGACACAAGTAGAGTCTACGTGATACCACATATGCATCAACGGAAATTCCCTTCGAAGTCGGTAGATTTTTTAATGAAACGTACGTGATTTGCACATACACAAATTCTATGTGCATTTCACGTAAACCCTTCGCGCTTCTTTAAAAGGATACTTTATCCACTAGAAGCGCATAAATTGTTTTGTTCGTAATAGTATCTCCTTTTTGTAGAATTGTAAATTAAAATATGCTCAGCCATTTTATATGTAGTGTTTTGTATTTATGATGTTGCCTCAAAATGGAGCTTTTTGGTGTGGGGGAGAGTAGAGGGTACTCAAAAAAAAAACAAAAAAAAAAAAAAAAGTGATTCTCACATATGAAAAAAATAAAAATAAATTACTCATTCATAATGGTACACATTGCTTGGCAATGTGAATGTTTACATACTAGTGAAAATATAGATAATTTTGATACCTATTTATTTGCGTGGAACAATTTCGTGTTGTAAGTATGATAACTAAACAAATTATGTATAGAATAACTTTTAAGTTTGTTTTATAGTTTCAGTATACCGGCAAAAAGTACCATGAGCATGAATGCAAGTTAAACTCCCTTACATCATATGGTTGTAACCAAGTTTTCGTTAGTTGTCCCGTTCGAATTTATGTTCGCCCTGTGTATATATTGACCGCAATAAACCTATTTTGGAATCAATGATAACTATAGAATCATTTGTAATGCGAAATCAATGATACATTTTATTTACAACGAAATTAAAATCATTGCAGACGATTATATATTCCATCGACAGAATAACGTAGCTTCTACGTGATAATTCAGTAACCATCTCGCTCACTGAAATGAGTGCTTCCATGTATGAATCACGTAACTCTTACGTGAAAAGTGCGATGGAAAAAATCTATGTGTGTTTTCACGTAGCATTGACGTGAAAATTATTTTGAGTGATAAGATAGTAAGATGCACCCTCGGGGCAAAATTACTTTTTGGCGACCGTGTAGACCTTTTTACAATAGTTGCTTTAAGTGCTATTTTATCAATTTTCCTACCTTTTAAAAAAATATATATACCAGCCATTCCGTAGCAGAATTTCGTAAAAATTGGTAGTTCCTTATCGTATAATATTAGATCTATCTTTTTTTTTGTTATAAGGGTAACCATTTCCATGTTAGGGTGCTGCAAAAAATCAATTTTTTTTTTCAAAAATGACTTATTCCCATAATTTATAATTTTTGAACCACTACACAGTGACCGAAGCCCGGACCAAAACTCTAAAAAGTTTGTTTTTATGTTTTGTTATTTTATATTTTTTCTAGGTTTTTCACACATTGAATAACGTTTTCTCAAAATTTCGAGTGTATTGGATAAGATTTCGATTTTGACCACACTTTGAACGTTGCTAAGTTAGCTGATTTTGATGATTTGTATGTTCAAAAACCAACAATTTAAAGCTCACTTAAAAAACTTGTTACGCATTCAATTTTGATCAAACTTGTGTGTCTAGGTGTCTAGGTTGCTCTAAACCAGTCTTCACGAAACATAGACGGCGTTGAGCTTGAGTTTCAATTTCTTCAGAGTTACCAGTGTTACCTTTCGAACTCAGGTGTACTCTGCACATCGAACGTGATACTTCGTACCTGCACGTAAGTGTGAACATTGAGGCTTGCTATGTTGCAACAGAAAGAGCAGACAAAATCGATGAACGCTTCTTATACGCCTTTAGCCTACACATCTTTCAGAGTAATAACAGACGAGAGGTGAACATGCCAGTCTGATACACTCAAAGTTCATGGTTCGAGCTTGAATAATTCCCTTTTATAATTCTTTTTAATATCATTCATTCTTTCCAACGCCAACGCCTGATTGCTGCACTTGAATACGAACGATGTTTTTTTTAAGCGCTGAAGCAAACGATCTGCGGACATAAACGTTGTTGAGGTGTGTGTATGAGAGAATGCTTATGTAATGCACATCAGTGAAGTTGGTGAAGTGGTTGAGACTAAGGTACTGATGCATGGTCAATATCGGTGTATTTTTGTTGATTTTGTTACTAAGGAATCCGATTTTGACTGACAAACGGTCGTGCCTTTAGATGGTACTCTAACTCTTCTAAGGGACATTTCAATTAAAATCGGTTCCTTGCTATAAGAACAAGAATGACCGTATTTAAACCGAATGCAACGGTACCTTGTGCGAGTACCCAGGACCCGATGGGCCTGACCTGACTAGGTTGTCCCCCTCGATGTTCCCTGGGATCCCGCAGTGTCTGGGAATCCATGTGTAGGTAGTGTTTGGTGGCGCAACCTTCAAGATGCCCTGGACCCAGGGGTTGACCGGGACCTCCGACAAAAGGGCCTGATTAACACTGTGGGAGTCAGACAGGATCAGGATTAGGCGATCCGCAGGAACCGTGACGGCATGAAGAATAGCCGCTGCTTCTGCCGAGAACACCGAACATTGTTTTGGCAGACTTCTACTCGTTGGGGAAATGTCACAAGCGATTCCCATTCTTATCTCCGTGCCAGTGAATCTTGGCCACTGGGGGGAGCTCTGCGTTGGCGATTGTACGGAAAACTCTGTCCCCCTCGCTGAGCAGCCAGATTCTGTCATTTCCAGCGGTGTTTGCTGAAAATGCAGCGGCTTTGTTGGCAATGGCTGCGTAGATGCGGTACCGGAAAGGGAGAGTGCCGGCTTCGATACAGCTGGCATCGGCTGGCGTCGAGGGTAGGAGACCGGAGATGATGCGCGTGTAGCTATTGTACACCGGAGTGAGTATTTGTATTGCCTTGTCGGTAGCGATGCAAGTCAGCTCGAGTCCATACATCAGCCGGCTGTCTACGATGGCCCGGGCAACACGGAAACGTACTTCTCTGGCAACTGGCCTTGACCTCTTGAAGGTGCTGGTCAAAACTCAGCGACCGGTCAATGACAACCCCCGCCAGTTTCACAGTTTTCTTCGATGGGATAGCTTGATTACCGATCTTTTTGGAAGGTCCGCAGACCCGATGTCGGTACTGGCAAACGTTAGACCTAGCGCTCTTTCCAACAGACATCTGAAAACCTTTCGAAGCGGCCCATCTGGCTACGGCGGAAACCCTTGCTTGGGCTCTAATCCTCGTTCGTCCCGGAGTTTGACCTGTGGCTACGATTAGCATGGTATGCGGACAATAAGGTCAATTTCGTGCCGAAAATGTTCAACCCTCCCAACACTCCGGAGCTCCACCCCATCGAGAAGTACTGGGCGATTATGAAGCAGCACCTTCTTAAACGACCTAAGGTAGTGAAGACAGTCGAGGAACTGAAGAAAGTATGGGTTTACATGCAAAAAACGGTTGACTCACAGGTTGTGCAGAATCTTATGGCCGGGGTTAAGGCCAAGGTGCGGGCATTTGCGTATGGACTGTAAATAAAATACGAGTAAAATGGTAAAATGAAGTTTAATAGTTATTTCTCAATTCCTGAAAATTTGATGGCAATCGGATGAAAACTCGAATTTTGCGAATCAATTTTGTGCGTGGCAATTTCATCGTGGACACCCTTTAAAGCATTTGCACTATTTTTTAAGTTGTGTGACCCAACATCAGTATTTTGATTTGGGGTTACTTTGATAATGCTCGATGAATATAGAAAAAAAAAATTGTGAAACTCAAACTTTTCAGTTCTTTAAATATGAAACTTTGAATGAGTATATAATCAGAAAACATCAAAAGCAATAAGAATACAACATTGAATTTGTGATGGCTATATCGGAAATTGATTTAATAAATGATGGTTTGAGTGCTTTTTCAAACAGGCGCAAAATACGAAAATGGTTTTTTTTAATATGTTTGTATAATATGTAACACATACTATATAAAAACTATATACGATATCAACGGAAATACCCTAA